AAGTTATCTCTGGTAATAACTCTTATGGGCAAGGCCCCAAGTATAAATTATCTAAGAAAGAGGTAAATATTTTCCATGAGTCTATAGTCTCAATTGCCTTCATCTCAAAATAACACCAAAGTGGCACATCTTGGGAAGGCCTATTTTGAACCCCTTCCCAAACAGAAGTAAGCACTTTAGAGTGTTTTAACTCTAAATAATACTATCTCAAATTACACACCACTGTCCAGTATTTTTTAGCCCCATATATTTTCATAGTCAATGTTTGCTTAGATTTACCTACATTGTTACTGTATTCTTTGCTTTATCATTCCTTCTTGTGTATTAGGTCTTCTATCTAGTATCATTTTGTTTCATAAATTCATTCTCAAGAAGTTCTTTCAGTGAAAGTTAGGTGGTAATAATTCTCTCAATTTTTGTTTGGCATAATCCAGCTGGGACCACTTTACTATAAATTTTTGCCTTGGAAATTTTCAAACCACACAATTAGTATAAATTCTATATCCTAGAACAAATCATCTAAAGTCTGGCTTGACCATGAATTTTCACCAGAAGCTTTTTGGTGTAAATTTACCTGTCTGAGTCAAGGCAGAGAAAGAACATATCTTTATGTTTGGGGGGATGGCCGGGGAGGAGGGGGAGGGTGGTATGGAGGGAGTGGGAATGGGGTTTGAGTTTTGTTCTTTCCATTTTTCTAGTTTACCTTTTCACTGCACATGTTTCTTTTCAGTGGGTCTGCTTTATGTAGGAATCGCTGATCTGACTTTTCACCTTGTTCGGTACTAGGCTTTGTATGAAGCCCCTGGCATTTACAAGTCCTTTGAAAATTGAAGTTCTAGGTCACCTAGGTTTGGTGACACCTCCTGAGATAGGTAGATGCCCAAGGGCAGTACCATCTTCAGCACTCACATACCTGTCTGGATTCCTGGCTCGCCATGTTTAGGGCTTCTGAGGTTTTCCTTCACTTTCTGGCTGGCTCAGTGATGCATTTAAAGGGCCTTTTAAAAATACTTTATCAATATTATTCAATGGCAGCTGAAACTAATAATAATAATAATAATAATAATAATAAAGAAAGAAAATAAAATTGCAACCCAGTAAAAAAAAAAAAAAACTTTATCAAGCATTTGTAAATGTTGCATACAAAGGCAGCTTTTAAGGATCTACTCTGCATCTTGCCAGCACCAGTGCATTCCACTCTTAATAACTCATACAAGACAGCCAAGAGGACTATTTTCTCCTCCATCCTATAACTCAAAAAACTGCATGACCTTGAACAATGTCTGTAAACCTCAGCTTTCTGAGTTTCCTTACTAGGAACTCTTTATTTGATCTTAAAAAAAAAAAAATCTTCTTAAACTTGAAAACCTTCTTCTGGAAAGAGATTTAGCATTCTTGATAAAAATTCTTAAATTTCTGGTAAACTTTAATGAGATTAAGACCAGCTGAAAATCAGACTTTAAAAATAACTTTATGCATTTTCTTTTGCTATATATTTTACATCCATTTTTTTTCGTTGTGAAATACCCCTACCAAGAGTGAATCTTTGAATTGACTTACTATCGGTTTCTTTTCTCCTCTTGCTACAAGATAAAACTGTAAACCAAAATTAATTTTAGAATGTAATAAGGAATAAAAGCATTTATTTGAGCAAAAAGAGTTACAGCCTGCGAAACGCAGATTCAGGTAGTAACCTAAATTGACGTTCCGCCAAGAGAAAGGAGAAGTTATCTTTTATAATTTTCCTGCCTACAGTTCCCCTTTTAGTCCATTTCATGTAAATGAGTTTTCCAAATTATACAGTTCTGATAGGTCTAAATTGTGCAATTCTAATTGCTCTGTATTGATGCAAATAAGGATATAATTTGTGTAGTTCTTTCTGATTGGACAGAGCTAGTCTCAGTCAATTGGTCAAAAGAGGAAACTCGGGCTTCCCTGCAGTGGTTGCCTTAGGCTGCATAAACAAGCATAGTGTGGGAAACCGAGAGTTCAATCTGAGGTTCCTCCTGGTGTACAGAGTACTTGAGGAGCCCCTGTCGGCAAATGACTGCTAGACTTTTATTATTCATAGAATTTTGGCCCTCGGTTGACCATGGGAAATTTATCTCAGCAGATAAATTCCTTCTTAGGGGTCACAGCAAATGAATTTTTCTACTCAGGGGTTGACAGTACTCATAACTGAATAGTCCGAAAAGTTTTCATTGACAAATCTCTAATTAAAAAAAAATTAAATACATTTTTCAATTTTCAGCTTTAAGTTTAGAGGCACTATAAACAAATCAAACCAACTTAGTTTTCATTGGTATTCCTGAGCTGCAAAGATATATTATTACCTTCCAAAGGACCTTTTTCTGTTTAAAATTTTTCTGCATGTTGGAAAACAAAAGCTTGTTTGAAAAGTTGAAATTGAAATGTTAAGACCAAGCCTATGAGTTTATTGCATTTCCTGTTGATATGCAAATTCGGGGATTATTCTGGTCAAGGCATTCCCCCACCACCAACGTTCATTATTATGTTAATCACAGGAAATGTATTATATTTTTAATGCATCTGGCTCCTTATGACGAAACTGAGGACTGGCTAAGAGAAAGAAAAAGAAAAGGTGTTTCTAGTTCATTATAATTCATTGTTGATTATGTAAGGTTGAAATAACATTTTGGTAATTAAGCTGAAGGGTAATAAAAATTAAGCACTGAAGTGTTAGAAGATCCAGATTTCTCACTGAAAGTATTTTAGTAAACCACCGTTCTATGCTTCAATCCCTTCTGTAAAATGAGGATAAGAGTAACTTGGCATTTGAGTCAAAATGAACTGGGTTCAAATTCCAGTTGAGGCATTTCCCAGCGGTTTTAACTTAGCCAAGCACCTTATGCTCATTTGTGGGGTAATTATACTCATATTTTCGGGTTGCTGTGAAGATTAAGTGGTGTCTGCAACACACACCATGAAAGAGTCAAGCATAGAGCTATAGTGAGAGTGCTTCTGAAGTCTACTCATTGGATTTCTCTGTATTAACCTAATGATTGTTTTAACTTCTTTTAATGTCTCCCTATTGCATTCCATTTACTATTTCATTAGCAAGTACCACTTTTCCTCCTTACTTTCAGCTTTCTCTACCATAAAAAGGATGTAAAACTTATCAGTGCAAAGGGTCTCTTCTCTCAAGCAGTGAGTCGTTTTGATGTTAAAAGCAGATAATTGAAAGTTCAGGAAAACCCACCTGTATTTCAGTATAAATTCCCCAAGGCACGTGTGTGCGCGCGCGTGCGCGTGTATGTTGGCAATGATATGTGATTCAAAGGAGAAAAAGGATCAATGATAAAGCTACTTATATACTTGGCACTGAATAATTAAACTAAAGATTAGAGAAGCAAAAAAAAAATTAGGGGAGGTTCAACTCTTCTGAGCTCCTTGACACTTATAGTTGCTTAAGGCAGCTTTTAGAAAGGAATAGCCCTTATGCAAAAAGTTTTGGTTTTTTTTAACCCCCCTTGAGAAGGAATCACAGGTCTTACATGAAAATGATGTGCTGCTTGGTTGCATTAAAACAGCAAGGGTCCAGACACATTACAGCTAATTTTAGTAGATAAGACAGATACACCTCAGCTTATTTTTCTCTGTCTCACTCCCCATCCCAAAAGCCTCAGGTACACTCATTACACGATTCCCTAGCAGTGGTTCTCAACCTTCCTAATGCCGCAACCCCTTAATACAGTTCCTCATGGTGTGGTGACCCCCCAAACCATAAAATTATTCTCGTTGCTACTCTATAACTGTAATTTTGCTACTGTTATGAATCATAATGTAAATATCTTTTTGTTTTCCGATGGTCTTAGGCGACCCCTGTGAAAGGGTCGGTCGACACCCCCCCCCCAGGGGTCACGACCCACAGGTTGAGAACCGCTGCTAGAGTCAGGCGGTGGGAGTGGAGAGTTTCAGCACAGCGTGTAGCTCTCCACATCATACTAGTCTGACCAAGAAAAAGAAAGAAAGGGAAGAAAGAAGAGAGGGAAGGCAAAGAGAGAAGGGGGAAAGAAAGGAAGGAGAGAAGCAGAAAGAGAGAGAGAAGACAGAGAGAAGGAGAGAGAAAGAGAGAGGAAAGCGAAGAAAAGAAAGAAAAAACAAAAAGCAGGAGGGAGAGAAAATTTTTAAAAAGGAGAAAGGAAGGATGCTTGGATGAAGAGAGTGAAAGGGAGCAAGAAAGAGAGCGAAAAAAGCATGTGAGAAAAAGGGAGACGGTCCAAGAGGGAGAGAAATAGAACCTTCACCAGCACTACAGAATCTCCTACAGGCAGTGTATTGTTTTCTTGAAAGCTCCGAAGCTAAGCAATTCCAAGAATGTTTGGCAAAACCCTTTTGGGAAGGCTGAGGTGGGGCACGGGGGATAGGGGCTTTCTCACACACATGCACACCCGGCCCCCACGCAAGATGTGACAAGGTCAGGGAGACCTAGCGGAAACCTTCAGGTCATCCAGAGAACTGCTCCTCTCGCTGGTCCTGCAGCGGCGAGGCGGTGGGGGGTGGGGAAAATAGGGGGGGTGAGAGCGCCGAGACGCGCGGGGCGCGGAGATGAGCAAGTGGCGAAGCTTGACCGAGCGCAGGCGGGAGCAGCCGCCCAACTCCAGGCGCGGGATCTGCTGAGAGGCCACGGTGAGTCTCTCCGGGTGCGGGTCCGAGGGATGCCCGGGGTGCCCGGGCCGAGGAGGGCCCGTAACCTTTCCGGAGTCTGGCCTCGGCTCGGCGCTGCTGCCCGCAGCCTGGAGCCGGCGCCGCTCCGGGCGCGCCTGGGCGGACACACGGACCGACCCGCGCTCGGCGGGGCTCTTGGCCCCGCGCGCTCATTGGTGGGGATGTGTCTGCTCAGCAGCCTCCAACTTCTCCCGAATCCCACTGGTGAGTCCCGAGAGAGCGAACGGGCGCCGGGGAGCCGGGGGAGAAGGGTCCGAAGGGCGCGAGAGCCGGGGGCGGTGGGACCGGAGCGGGGAGGGCAGAGCCGGCCGGGGGGAGCGTTTGCCCCGCGGGCGCGCCGAGCAGGGTCAGAGGATCAGGTCCAGCGCGATCCGAGCGCCCGGGACCCCGTGGCCGTGGGCGAGGGAGGCGTGCCCGGAGACGGAGCCGCAGCTGGGACCTGAAGAGTGAGGGAAAGGGGTCGAGAGGGCGACCTGGAGGAGGGCTCTGAAGTGCCGTCAGGTCGACTCTTCAGGTTCATTTCCATAGCTCCTGCCTGGGTTCTGTTTGGTTGCCAAGATCAGCGCTACCTAATTGCAGCGGGGCTGATTTGGGGGCTTGAAATTTGCCATTCCGTTGTACAGGCGCTGATGGGGTTTTTTGGGGTGGTTTTTTTTTTAAAGCAAGGTTTGTTTTCATTTTGAATTCTGTCGGATTTTCTCTTCATTTGTAACTCACTTTTCTATTTTTACTTTTCCTAACCTGAAGATCTTTTCATTATCCCACCTCTTCATCTTGCTTAGAATCTTAGTTTCCTGTTATATAATTTATGCGGTTAGCGTACTTAAACCACACAAGGGTTGGTTGGCAGGAGTGGTGGTGGTGGTGGGGGTTCTTTTGTAGATGAAAGTTTCCTTACTTAATCGGTCTCAATCTATTTGTAGCATGTGAAAATAAGGGTAATTGCAACCTAACGCTCTTCTTTAAGCCACTTGGTAAAGTCTGTTCCTCCCCCAAGTATGATGCAAATGGTAATTTTATTAAACTGAAAAATAGTACCTGGCTTACAGTGTCAGTGTTTGGGAACTCCTAATCGGAAAAATCGGCTATGAAGGCGTGTAGCTTCTCCACTTTTGTTGCATTGTTGCTGGCTTCCAGCACTTTAAAACAATTGTCCGATAGTTGCTCGGGTTCAATGCTGTGACTTGTTGTTGCACAGCTATACAGCATGTAGGAGTAATGTGATTGGAACTCTGTGCCCAGAACTCCAAATTCCGGCCAAGAAAACACCTACAAATTAATGTCCGGGGAAAACAAAGAGATGATTTCTCTTGAGTACCTGCCTTCTCAGCTTCTGCAGCTATAGTCTGAACATGAAACCTGTTTCTCCTGTTTCCTGTGCCTCAGTTTCCATAATACAAACTATAATTGCATGGCGTACCCTCAGGTACTTGCCGAAATGTTAATGTAGTTTTGTGCTGTGAAGATGAACATTGCTTAGGTTTATAGGCTTTCCTTTAACAAACCTTAGTTATTCTCTAAGTTCTTTGATTTGACTATGTGATAAAGTGATGTGTATACTCAACTGGTCCAAGCACTGCTGCTTTGTATTGCTTTGAAATTGAGCTTCTACTTCAGCAAAATAATCATGTTTTCTTTCAGTGATGTTGTCAAGCTTGCAGGGTTCTTTTTGGGGCTAGATCTCCTAATTCTCTGTTTTCTCCTTCTTGGAAGTGTCTACTTTTTGGTCTAAGCTTTCTAACGTATCTCCAGTTAAGCCGAAATATGTTAAGGATATAGGTATGTTTTGGCATATCCTGTTTATTATGGGACTACGAGTATCAATCTATATCTACTCATATGTATCTATCTTTCTATCTCTACCTATCTTCTTTTTGTGTGTGTAATTGCTTTTATTTCCAAGCCCTCTCTCAAATGGGGTTGGGTGTGGTTGAGTTGGATATTCAGGTATCTGGGAGGCTGGTGATATGTTTCATCCTGAGGTTCAAGATTCTGACCTCTATTTTCTTAAAAGAAAATACTGAATCCATTGGAATTAACTGAAAATGAATAACAAAGTTAATTTGGGAGGTTCAATTTGCATCGTTTCTGCTTTTACTCAGTACTGTTGAAAAGTGCTACTTAAGAGCAAATGACTTAGAACATTTGCAGAAGGTTTAGGAGAAGGGCAGATGGAGAATTTGCAGGTGATTCAAAGACGATATTCGTTTGACGCAGGTAAAAGGACTAAACAGCTTCAGTCACTGCCTTCATGTCCCTACAACAATTTCTGCAGCCTTAGGTGCAGAGCCATTAATAGCCCAGATGTTTTCCTGCAAATGCCTGATGTTCTAAAGAGCACCTTTAATTTAACCCCGGGGCTGCCCTGGTTCCTGGCCCTCAGTTTTACTGGAGAAACTGATTGTTGTTTGTAAGAAAGAACTAAAAAGAGAAGCGGGTCATATTTATACCAGGACAATGTTTCTTTAGATTGTCTTCTGAAATATTATTAGAGCAGGGGGAATAACTACTCAAGAAAGGGAAATATTTGTGCAAATGTGATTAATATTCAGATGTTCTTTAGGTCAGTCTTGACTTCTTCTGGGGGAACTAGGAAAATTACTCTTTTTATTGTTTGACTCTGTATGATGTCCAAGTGTTAAATTTATTCCCATCTTTTCTTTCCCCAACCACCACCCCTATTAAAATTACAAGGACTGCAATCAATGCAATTCCATATCATACCCCCAGGGGCTGTGAGACTAAGCCAACATGAGTTACATAACCATTAAGGAAGACATTTTAACATTCAGGTACATTACATTCCACGTTTATTGAGCAGACATGGTTTTCATGGTCTAATAAAATATTTTTATTTGATAGTCTGTCCTTGGTTATAGCCTCATGTAATCAAGGGGACGGCATGCTTAAGATTTTGTATCCAGAACTTTAACGTCCAGTTGTGGTTCACTTATTAATAACTCACTGGGGAGATTAAATCCCTAATTATCTGTTGGATCTCCCAGGCCACACTTCAAATGTAGACTCTGTTTCTACTTTATCCTGTGCCTCAGTTTCCACAAAACACACCCCATGGGAATTGCGTGTATTCATCAAAGACCTTTAACTGTAAGAGTATTTCTGAGCAATCACTTCACCTAGGAACTAAATTATATGCTTAATTTGGAACTAAATTATACGCTTAATTTGTATTAAGCTGTAAAAAGCTAACCTGTTAGCTTACAATGCTCTTTTCTACAGTCCTGCAGAAAAATTGAAGTTGTCTGGGCTTAGGTGGATGGCCCATAGAGAATCAACAGGCCTCTAAAAGAAACATAATGAAATCTGATATTTAGGCTTATAGCCTCTAAATTTTCCTCCTAAGCTTATGCAGTACAATCTAAAGTGGCTCTTATTATATGATGATACAATTTTATTTCAAACAGTGACCAAATGTATTTTTTAGAAAGAACATTTACTAGTTGTGTAGCCTTGGGCAAATTACCTGACTTCTCTGTGCCTGTTTTCTAAGATATGGAATTGGAATGTTAATATCCACCTTACAATGATTAAATGAATTAGTACATGTAAAACACAAAGAACTGTGACTGACACATGGGAAGTATTCAATAAATGTCAACTATTATTAGTATAAGTATTAATAGTAATTTAAATACAAGTTAAATATCTTAACCATTGTTACCCTGACCTACAAGGTAGAATTTTTTAAATTACATATTTTTATCTTACTGAGTTGCAAAAAGAGATTATAGTTAATATTGTTCATCCCAGGAGGTAAACCACTGACTTTTCTCCAGTGAGTAACCTTTTTCAGAATGTTATCTAACCAGTTAATAGATACCCATATCGGCTCTAGTCATAATTTTGAACTGTAAAATCAAAAGTCGTTTTTCAGACTAAACTATCACAAGTGTTTATTGTGTTTTGTTTTTGTCTGTATTCCTATTTCAAATTATTGCTTAGTCAAAGCCTCAAAGTGTTAGTCATTGATTGCCTAACTCCTAAAGGAAGCTACTGGAACAAGATATAAAATTCACCTTTGACATTGTCCGAAGTTCAAAAGGGTGAGTTTAAAACGTTCCTTAATGATGGTACAGCAATTATTTGCTTGTGAACTGCTGAAGGAATCATACATATTTAGCTGAGTCTCCTTGTCTAATTTTGCTTGGATCTTCTGTGATATATCAAAACAAAGACAAAAGGTTGTAACCGGGACCTGTCACATTCATCTGGTTCTATATTCTTCACTGTCAGAATCAAGATTTTGACTTTCAACAAAAAATTTTTATTTCTTATTTAAAATGAATCAACCTTTTCCTTTTATTCAGCCACATTAAGCATTTGGAAAATTGTATATATATTTCCTCTTCTCTTTATTAATTTATTGGTAGTTTAAAAAAATTAAAAAAAATTTTTTTTTGCAAATTTTAGGTGATGGGCAGATCAGAAAGTCAGATGGATATAACCGATAGCAACACTCCAAAGCCAAAGAAGAAACAACGATGGACCCCATTGGAGATCAGTCTTTCTGTCCTCGTTGTTCTCCTCACCATCATTGCTGTCACGATGATCGCACTCTATGCAACCTATGATGGTGAGTTCCTCCCACCCCTGTGCTCACAGAAATGCACAAGAGAGTAAAATCTTCATCTTATGCTTTTCCCATCTACCAAACAAATGTGTTAAGGAGAAAGACAATTAAAGATGGAGCTATAAAGATTCATTTATAAAATGTGACATCAATATGTCAAAACAATTAACTTTCACTAAAGTACAATGTCTTTTATGTTTGAGCCAAGTTATTAATTGCCTAGTATATTTAGTGCACTCATACTTAGTTTTTGAGGATTCTAATGTACAATTCTATTTGATTGAAGTATACACAATTTTATGACCAACTTCAATTAGAGAGCTTTTGTTGTGTCATTGAAATTCTAAAGGGCTTCATAGGAATTTAAGAGGTCTAATTTGAGTCTTAGAAGTTTTTCACAATAAGGATTAGAAAAGATTGGTTCTTTAATGGCAAAAAACATGATTACCAGACTAAAACAACTGATAATTTAAAAGACCTACGGCTGAGTGGGTAGAGAATGTAATAAATACATTTTTCTTCATAATAAAAATTTTAAATTTAGGGTTTGCCTATTTTATTCCTCCATATTTTTTGTCTAACTAACTACTGACAATGATATATGATATTCAGGTTTAGTTTTTTTGCTTCAAGGAATTGATTATTTAATTGGCAGTTTTTAAGATAGGGAGAAATTAGAAAACTTGTATTGCAAATATTTATGCATATACCCTCCTTTTTCTAGATGGTATTTGCAAGTCACCAGACTGCATAAAATCAGGTAAGAAGATGGCTTTTAAATACTTTTATAATTAATGTATAACATTTAAAAAGCAAATGCTAGTAGATATATCTCCAAATTTGCTTTCTTTATGCTTGTATTTATTATAGATCACTTATTTTATAGTGAAGGAAAATAAAAATGTATTTAAATAGATTAATTAACTTGTTTAGTCTAAAAAGGAAATCACTGTGTTCAGCCCTGGAGTGTATGGTAGGGTGATAGAGAACTCTGTCGCTAGCTTAATGGAATTGGAGAGAAAATCAGCATGTATGAAACAGTGAGCATCCTAGCATTCAGTATGAAATTTCTCCATGCATACCATTAGACTCATTAGAGGGATAAAAAAGGAGTAACAGGTAGTCACTTAAGCTACATGGAGAAACTGAGATTTGGGAGGGGCCTTGAAGTAGGGCTAGGATTTGGAAGTGGCAGTACGGAAGAGGGAATTCCAAACAAGGAGAAAGAACAACAGGAATAAATCATATTGTGGAGAAGCAGTGAAAATGTAACCTTGATAGATTGGGTCACATTACTGAGAGCTTTGAAAATCCATGTTTAGCCTTGATGTTGTAATAACAGAGAAATGGTTATTTTCCTGACGAGATCACTCAGCAAGGCAAAAGTTGAATGATGATTCTAGGAATGCTCGGCTGGGTAGATTGAATGAGGGGTGATAAGGCAGGGAGAGTGGCAGGTAGGGGTTTTAACTCAGGTGTGAGCTGAGGAGGTCAGCCTGTGGTGGGATGAGACAGCTGCGGGGCAGCATGAAGGGAGAATTGGATGGCGCGATAGAAATGACTCACTAAATGAAGGATGTGAATAATTTGAAAACCATGCCAACTTTTAAATAAAACCTAAAGGATTCAGGAGAATGGTGGCAGTGTGTACAGAAGTAGAGAAGTTAGGAGGTAAGTTTGTCTTAGGGAAGGATGTGATTAATATGGATTTGGACATGTTGAGTCTAAGCTGGGTTGACGTCCCCGTGGGGATAGACAGCAGGAAGGTAGAGATGGGGTGTTGGAGACTCTCTCACGTGGTAGATTTAGGATCTATCAACCCAGAGATGACAGTTGAAGCCTTGGGAGAATCTGAGTTCCCAAAAGGAGGAAAGAAGAGGTGTAATGCCTGAACTTAGGAGGACATCAAAAATTAGAGAAGAAGAAAAAGAAAAGTCAGAGAAGGGAACAGAGAAGTGTATGGAGCTACAGAAGTCACATCCATTAGTGTGTGGTGAAAACAGAAGAGCATTTTGAGAGGAAGAAAAGTGTAGCTGGGCACAGCACCCTGGATATGAACACAGTATTAATCCCTTTGACAAGAGATTCTAAACTTCCTTCCAAGAAATAACTTGTCCCTAGTGATTTTTTTTAACCATTTTCTGTTGGATATTTTAACTATGTTTTTGTTATTCAGACCTTTGCAAAATAACGATGGCAAAAAATCTTGGGATTTTAGGTTATAATCTGATAACCCAAATATGTGCCCTTTGCTTTTCTATATTGCTTTTTGATGATGATGATGATTTTCCCATTGGATCTTCAGTGCACCAACCGTACTCCTGAGACATGATGTAGGTAGCTTGAGAAAGATCTGATTGGGATATCAGCAACATAATAACAGGCACTTCCCCATCTTTGGGCTTTCCCAGAAACAACAGAAGTTTTTCTGTTACCCAGGGAAATAGTTGTACAGGTACGTTGGCTGGGAGATGTCCAGGGCCCCTGTACCAGAGCAAGTTGTCAAAGTTACCATTTGCTCTATCCCCAAATCCTCCTCTTCCGTCCTGTCTACCAGCTGCCTTACTATATGCGCATACCTATCCTCCACTTACATAATGACTTCTCTCTCCAAGTTTCTCAGTTCTTAATACACTTGACGTGTTTAAGTCTCTTCATCTATAGGTTCTGTTTCACACAGTCTCTTCTCCCTCTTACCCCTTTTTTCTCTTCTTGTTTTCTTGCATTTTGTTTTTGAAGAAACTGGATCCTTTGACTAGGTAGGTAGGCATAAAAATCTGGGCAGGTTCCTCTAGTGGTACCCACCCTAACAAGCAATGTGATATTTGGAATCTTGAATCTTAGATGTGACTTAATGTTTAGGAGTATGGCTTTGGCTTTTTAATACTGTTTAGCAAATCTCAACTCATTAAAATGTATTTAACCTGTATCCTCTAATTGTAGCTTAGAAATCATACCAAATGTAAAACACCTCCCTGGACTGTCTCTTGGCAGAGAAGTGTATACAATAGAAATAGCTTCAGTGGTAAACATGATTGCTGAATAGCTTTGTGTTTTTCTTCATTCTGCTGGGTTGGTTCACAATCTGTTAGAATACTTTCATACTCATAGTTCTTATTCTTCCTGGGTGAAAAAATGAAATTGAAACTCACCCTTATGGATACAGTCTTCACACCCATGCACACACACATAGTTCTCTGCTGGTTAAGAAATCTTTTCTGCCACGGAAAATACAACTATTGCTTTTAGAAATTGCTGCAAATTAAGAAAACTCTAGGGGAAATCTTAGACAGAAAAATGCAGTAAAGAAAGGGAGAGAGTGGAGTGGATGGAGAGGAAAAGCAAGGTGGAAAAAAAGAGATTGAAGAACATATAAGGTCTCCTACTAGCAATTCTATAACTTAATTTAAAGGAATGGGAGAATTCAAACCTGAGCACAGAAGTTCTTGAGAATTTAAGAAATTAAGTATTGAGACCCAAGGTCCTTACTTTAAGTGCAAGGTGGTTCTAACTTAATTCTTTCTCCTGGTGGAAGGGAAAATCACAGTAAATGCACTGTTCTCTTTTATCCTGAAAAGTCAAGGGATAGAAATCAGGCCATACCAAGGCAAAAATAAAATATTGCAGAAACCTATTAAGTACTTAAACCTGAGCATCTATGAATTTAAATATTTATAATATGAATAAAATATTTATAATAAACACTTTAAATTAATGTGTCTATATGTGATATGCAGCAGTATGAAAGATTACACAAGACTTAAAACACTACTTAACAAATAACAAGTTAAGGCAGTGTTCAAAATCCTACTATTAAAGTAGAAGTAATATTATTCATCTCTTATTTACTATCTAAGATTGTCAAAAACGTGGAGTTATAGAGCTGGCATGTGATTTGTCAAACTTCTCTATGTAAATCTAAATCCTGGAACCAGCTTCTATTGCATTGTAATCTTACTAAGAAGATTTCAAGGAATCTTATGCTTCCCATCAGGGGTTGTCAGCTTCATCACTGTTGACATTTTGGGCTGGATAATTCTTTGTTGGGGGCAGGCAACTGTCTTGTGTATTATAAGATGTTGAGCAGTATCACTAGCTGCTAGCCATAGATTCCTAGTAGCAACGTGCCTCCCAGTTGTCACATCTAAAAATGTCTCCAGATATTGTCAAATGTCCCTTGGGGCAGCATAATCACTTCCAATTGGGTACCACTGGCTTAAATGATCTCAAGAGATCATCTACTGTTTTTCTGCTTGTCGTGGTCAGAATAATGCCTCCCCAAAGATGTCCATGTCCCACCCCATGGGATTCTGTGAATGTGTTACCTTCCATGGCAAAAGGCACTTTGTAGATGTGATTACATTAAGGATCTTCACATGTGGAGATTATCCTGAATTAGCTGGGTGGTGTTACTTAGTCACATATGTATTATAAGGGGAAGAGAATAGGAGGGTCAGAATCACAGAAAGAGATGTGAAAACAGAAGCAAAGGAAGCAGAGGTTGCAGCAATGTGACCACAGCCAAGGAATGTGTGTGGCCCGTAGAAGCTAGAAAGGGAAAGGAATGGTTGTCCCCTAGAGTATCCAGAAGGAACACAGCCCTGTCGGCCCTTTTTAGACTTCTGACCTCCAGAATTATAAGGTAATAAATCTGTGTTGTTTTACGCCACTAAGTTTATGGTCATTTGTTACAGTGGCAATAGAGAACTAATAATACGCCTCCCATAATTCCTTTATTTTAAGACTATCTCTGAAGAGTTAAGAAACACACACACACACACACACACACACACACACACACACACACTGTGTCCTGCCAAACTGCTGTTTTATTACTAAATTGAGCTGTGTAATATACAGGTATAGGGAAGGAATGTTAAATGGATTAATAAAAGGGGATAATAATAGAATGCAGGAGACTAATAATAGAATATAATAAAATAAAAACAGAAGGTAATGAAATAGAATAGATATAGCTAACACTTTTTTTGACTGTTTCTGAGTCTGGCACTGTTGTAAGCAGTTAGCATGTATTAACATATTTGATCCTAATAATGACTCTGTGAGGTAGGTACCATTCTACAGTCTTTTCACAGATGAAAAAACTTGGGTTGGGATCCCTGCACAGGAGGCAGCCTGGCTCCAGAGCCAGTATTCAGGACCATATCTCCATGTTGCCTCAAAGGAGCTAGGAATCTGTCTACCTTTTAATACCCTGTGCCTGTACATACAGTATGTGAGAGCAGATTGCATCCCCTCCTGCTAGAATTTGGAGCTAAAAGATATAAGATGACTCTCCAAGAGTTGAAATATATATATTTTTTACTAGTTTCAGGTGTACAAAACAACATAGTAATCAGACATTTACGTAACCCACAAAGTGATAACCCCAACAAGTCTATTGCACACCCAACACTGTACATAGTTATTACAACATTATTGATTATATTCCCCATGCTGCACCACACATCCCCATGACTATTTTTTAAATTATATTTGACATTCAAATTAATTTATATTAGCTTCATGTGTGTAGTGTAGTGAGTAGACATTTATATAATTTATGAAGTGATCCCCCCTTTAAGTCTACTACCCATCTGACACTATACATAATTTTTATAATACTACTTAGTATATACCACATACCATACTTTACATCCCTGTGACTGTCCTGTAACTATCAATTTGTATTTCTTAATCCCTTCATCTTTCTTACCCAGCCCTCCAATTCCTCCCATCTAGTAACCATCAGTTTGTTCT